TGTGAAACCTTCTCGGTCTCAATTATTGTCATTTTTAAAAATTTAAAACCTTCTCGGGAGCGCCAAAAGGTTTTTTTTATAACTGGAAACCTTCTCGGGTGCCCCAATGTATTATTTTAAGAATGTGAAACCTTCTCGGCCCCAATTCTCTATTTTAAAAATGTAGAACCTTCTCAGAGGCGCCAATTTTTTTTTTAATGTGAAACCATCTCGCAGGTCCCAATTGTCTTTTCCTTTAATGTAAAACCTTCTCGCGGGTCCAAAATGTATTCTTTTCAGAATGTGAAACCTTCTCGCAGGTCCCAAGTGTCTTTTTTAAAAATGTAAAACCTTCTCGGAGGCGCCAAATGTCTTTTTTTTTTTAATGGGAAACCTTCTCACAGGTCTCAACTGTCTTTTCCTTTAATGTAAAACCTTCTCGCGGGTCCCAAATGTATTCGTTTAAGAACGTGAAACCTTCTCGGTCTCAATTGTCATTTTTAAAAATGTAAAACCTTCTCGGGAGCGCCAAAAGGTTTTTTTTTTAATTGGAAACCTTCTCGGGATCCCCACATGTATTATTTTAAGAATGTGAAACCTTCTCGGTCCCAATTGTCTTTTTAAAAATGTAAAACCTTCTCGGGAGCGCCAGAGAATTTTAGATTTATTAATTAATTAATAGACCAAAAGTGTTGAAACATAATATTTTGTATTTGAAAAAACGGCCTAAAAATCCACCAAAAATTCTGGGAAACATGGACCTCAAGATTTTCGAAATAGTCTGTTTCAAATAAACTTTTTAAAATATCTTTACAGCCGAAAATAATGTCTACAAGTAGAAATCATCAAAAAAAAATCCCAGAGTAATTTTCGAAGCTGCCTGGAATAAACTGCAGTATTTCATATTGAAAAATCTATATTTGCTTTCAAAAAAAAATACCAATATGATAAAGTTTTAAGTCTTTGGTTGTGAAAATAAAACTATGTAGAGTAGGAAAAACACGCCAAAATGCAAGCCCCACCCACCCACCCTATCTCAACTGTGATGATTTTTTTCTGGATGGGGGTTATTTTTGTCTTTTTTTTAAGTCTACGTAATTTTCTTTTCATGACAAGAAACTGAAAACAGGTTTAAAATGGTAAAATTTTGTAGGGAAATACGAACTTTGCAATTCAGCCACGCCCTCTGGCTCACGAAGAATAAAAAAAATCATCACAATTAAGGTGGGGTGGGTGGGCGGGGCTTATATTTTGATTTTCGTTTCTTTCTTAAAATTCTTACTTTCTACAACAAGAAACTTACAACATAGTCAAAATCGTAAATTTTCGTAGAGAAATATATTTTATATTTTAAAAGCGGCAAAATATAAGCCCGCCCACCCGCCCTCATCTCAATTCCGATTAATTTTTCATTCCCTGGCAGACCGAGGGGCGGAGCGTAATTGCAAATTCCATATTTGCTTAAAAAATCTACCAATTTGATAGTTTTAAGTCTTTGGTTGTGAAAAGAAAACTACGTTCAGTAAGAAAAACACGACAAAATGCAAGAATTCCCACCCACCCTATTTCAACTGTGATGATTTTGTTCTGCATGGGGGGGCTTATATTTTGCATTTTTTTAGTACAAGTAGTTTTCTTTTCATAACAAGAAACTGAAAACAAGTTTAAAATGGTAAAATTTTGTGGGGAAATATGGATTTTGCAGTTAAGCTACGCCCTCTGACCCACGACGAATAAAAAAAATCATCACAATTGCGGTGGGTGGGTGGGCGGGGCTTATTTTTTGATTTTTGTTTCTCTCTTAATATTCGTAATCTTCTTTCTACAACAAGAAACTAAAACATAGTCGAAATGTTAAATTTTCGTAGAGAAATATATTTTTAAAGAGGCAAAATATAATACCGCCCACCCGCCCTCATCTCAATTCTGATTAATTTTTCATTGCTTGTCAGACCAAGGGGCGGAGCGTAACTGCAAAATCCATATTTGCTTAAAAAATTTTACCAATTTGATAGTTTGTACAGTACGAAAAACAGGAGAAACGCAAGTTCCGCCCACCCACACTATCTTAACTGTGAGTATTTTTTTATGCACGGGCGGGGCTTATATTTTGCCTTTTTTAATATAGGTAGTTTTCTTTTCATAACAAGAAACTGAAAACAAGTTTAAGTTGGTAAAATTTTGTGGAAAAATACGAATTTGGCAATTAAACTCCGCCCTCTGGCTCAGGACGAATAAAAAAAATCATCACAATTGCGGTGGGGTGGGTGGGCGGGGCTTATTTTTTGATTTTTGTTTCTCTCTTAATATTCGTAATCTTCTTTCTACAACAAGAAACTTAAAACATAGTCGAAATGTTAAATTTTCGTAGAAAAATATATTTTAAAAGAGGCAAAATATAAGCCCCGCCCACCCGCTCTCATCTCAATTCCGATTAATTTTTCATTCCTTGTCAGACCGAGGGGCGGAGCGTAATTGCAAAATCCATATTTGCTTAAAAAAATTACCAATTTGATAGTTTGTACAGTGCGAAAAACAGGAGAAACCCAAGTTCCACCCACCCACACTATCTTAACTGTGAGTATTTTTTTATGCATGGGCGGGGCTTATATTTTGCCTTTTTTTAATATAGGTAGTTTTCTTTTCATAACAAGAAACTGAAAACAAGTTTAAGTTGGTAAAATTTTGTGGGGAAATACGGATTTGGCAATTAAACTCCGCCCTCTGGCTCACGACGAATAAAAAAATCATCACAATTGAGGTGGGGTGGGTGGGCGGGGCTTATCTTTTGATTTTTGTTTCTCTCTTAATATTCGTATTCTTCTTTCTACAACAAGAAACTTAAAACATAATCAAAATCGTAAATTTTCGTAAAGAAATATATTTTAAAAGAGGCAAAATATAAGCCCGCCCCCCACCCCCCCTCATCTCAATTCAGATTAATTTTTCATTCCTTGTCAGACCGGGAGGCGGAGCGTCATTGCAAAATCCGTATTTACTTAAAAATTTTTACCAATTTGATATTTTGTACAGTACGAAAAACAGGAAAAACGCAAGCCCCGCCCACCCACCCTATCTCAACTGTGATGATTTTTTTCTGGATGAGGGGGCTTATATTTTGTCTTTTTTTAAGTATACGTAAATTTCTTTTCATAACAAGAATCTGAAAACAAGTTTAAAATGGTAAACTTTTGTGAGGAAATACGGATTTTGCAATTAAGCTCAGCCCTCTGGCTCACGACGAATAAAAAAAATCATCACAATTGAGGTGGGGTGGGTGGGCGGGGCTTATCTTTTGATTTTTGTTTCTGTCTTAATATTCGTAATCTTCTTTCTATAACAAGAAACCTAAAACATAGTCAAAATCGTAAATTTTCGTAGAGAAATATATTTTTAAAGAGGCAAAATATAAGCCCCGCCCACCCGCCCTCATCACAATTCCGATTAATTTTTCATTCCTTGTCAGACCGAGGGGCGGAGCCTAATTGCAAAATCCATATTTGCTTAAAAATTTTTACCAATTTGATAAAATTGCAATACAGATCTTAAAAATAACATGATTGCGATTTTTTTTTCTGAACCCTGCTTGCTAAAAAAAATCAAAAAAATTGCAATAACGTGGCAACGTCGCGTCAGATTTCCAAAATAAACTACGGTTATAAAGCCTTGCAAGAAGTTAATGGGAACACAAAAATATATGTAATAGAAGTTGATTAGTGTTTTTTTTTTGTTACGAAGAATTTCATGACATAGATAGTTTTCTAATTTTCAGTATTTAATAACCTATTACTTTAAGAACCGCGTTAAAAGATTAACTAGTCATTCTATTCAAATAAACCGAAAACTAAACCATCCGTGTCATTATTTTCAGTAGCCGCACCGAGCATTATTCGGCTTTCACGTGTATGTTGGCGTTCCGCTCCATATTGATAACGGACAGTGAGTAGAGTTCAAGCCGCAAGCTCAATAACCATAAAAAATTATTTGTAAACACACAAGTTTGTAAATAAATCGAACACATTTTAAACGCCGCTCAAGATCTCGGCACTGGTTTAAGGAAACACAAACTTTTTTCGAATATGATTTTTACAACTACTCATTACACACGTAGACGCTAAAAATTATCACAGAAATAAGTATCAATTCGGAGCGAAATTAAACATTAAACACAAAAGAACTTCGTTTGCGCTATTTATGGCCCCTTCTACCCGTTTTTGACTTGGTGCGCCTCCAGTAATAGTCTGATCCTTTGTAATTATCGTAAAAAGTAATGCCTTTGCTATTTCCGTACACGCAACTCCGCTTTTTTTGGAAGCAAAGAATCGTTGTTTCTCTGTGACCTTTAACACCTAAACAATGCTTAAAAATAGCGCCAAAATTTGCTTAGCACTGTGACATTGATGTTTCATTGTGACGTATGAGAGAATATGCCCACTTGATCTATAATTAATTGCGGTTTTAATTTCAGTTTGCGACTGGCATTTTTCCAACAGTGAAAAACAATCTGCGTTGAAATGGTACAAATTCGTCCGACACGGAATTTTAAAGTTCTTTTTTCGAAAAATCTGAGGTCATGAAACGTCAAGAAAACATGAAAGCTGCAGGTTTGTGAAAATTTTGTTTGTTCAACTTTATTCCTACCATTCTTGGTACATCCTTTTGATAGGAAGACTGGAACTTCATTGTAGATAGACTTTGATCACCTGATAAAATATGTGACTCAGCTGATAAGCCGAAAACTTTCTTATGGTACTAATGGAGTTTATGTATATCTGAACAAATAGTCCTAATCGAGTAATAATTAAGGAACATGTTCGCATAGTCGGTGAAGACAAAGAAAGAAGCAGTGAAAATTTGAGGTTATGTTGCCGATTTACCTGTTTCATTCACGAGTACCAGCATTATTTTATAATATGCAGGAAATAAATAAAGTCGTTCTTCGTAACCAAAAAAGCTTGACAGTTTCGTCTTCAAAAAATCTACTGACCGGGTACTCCTGTAGTCTCCCTCCCCACACTTACTCTTGGGGTAGCCCTCCAGAGATCTGCCTCGGCACCTTCGCCGCAGGCACGAGCCCCACCGCCAGCAGAATCGCGATGGCGCTATCCGGCAGCGTCTCCTCCTTCAGGAAGTCCCCCGGGAGGTTCCTGTCCGGCGTAGCCCCCTTCTTCAGACGGCACCTCGTCGGCAGCCCCAACAACTCGTGCTGCACATCCCTCTCGTAGCTCTCGTCCGTGAAATGCAACGAACAAATCCTCGCCGTGGAGCAGTTCTGGACGAACTTGCCGCACGCCTGCACCCAGCGGGCCCTCGTGGCCGAGTCCCCCGGGAACCGGTGGTACCTGATCGAGCCCCCTTTGGTCTTCCTGTGGGAACTGTTGCAACCCACCACCGCACACTGTGGCATTGCAGTGCCTCACATCAAGTTCAGAGTTCACTGCGTGTCGAAACCGAGGTTCTCTGGGTTTACAACCGGATGGAATGACGTACCAGCAACCTTCCGCTCGCACCTAATGGGATCGTGTCGGGTTAAATAAAGAGTAAACGTGATAAGGAACTGGGTCGGCTGGCCCAATTTACGCGCCGTTACGTCACTGGTGTAATCTTGATAAGTGGCGCGGTGCTAATATGGGAAGGTGATGTTTGCTTTGGTTGCGCAGTGGTACCGAGAAATGTGCCAGGACGTCGCGGGATCAAGGAACTTTTGAGGCGCGGAGAGGGAAATTGCCCAAGTGGGGCACGAATTTCCCAACGAGCACGATTTTATCAATTAGCTGGTGCGCTTGGTAAACAGTCGCTGTTTACGAGAGGTACTCGCAAAAAACGAGTTGAAGTGGAAAAGTACCAACATAACTACATTAAGTTCAAAAGAGATTAATATAATAAGTTGGTCCTCGTATAGTTCACCAACAAGAACAGCGATTGGAAAAATCAAAACTATAAAACCACTGTTTTCGTTGGTGCACTATACTCATCCAACATTTCACCACATCCCGCATCCTTTATTTTTCATTTTTACCGCGACGCACAAACTCAACACCATTAAACGTACTAAATTACGTCCAGAACCGTCACGTGGCAGAATATTTTAAAACTGGGGTGAATTCCCAGGGTGACACGAATGGTTCGGCGTTTTTACGGTTCACACAGCCTCATGAATATGCATTTTCGCGTTTTAAATTTTATCAGGCCGGTGATTAAGTTGGTTCGTTAGATTTTGGTAAACATCTGTGTATTTGAGTTACGTGTATGAATCATGGCTACAGGAAATTTCGCGGTTTTTAAACGCTACATCACGAAAAAACGAAACTCTTTTTATAAAATCATATATGTATAACACTTATAATGCTATTACCAGCGAGCGGCAAAAAAAGAATGTCGTACCTGCCGTCCGTTAATTTAAGCTCAGAGTGTTGTGACAAGTGTGGAATAGAATTTCCGGTTGTGCTATAATCGAGGCCAACTCTAATTCCCTTTTTTATCGCATAAAAAAAGAAAGTTGCAGAATGTAGCCTGCAAGATTGGATGTTGTTACACGTAATGAGAATGTCGATGTAATTGTTCACGAAAGTTTGAGTCTACTTTCGGATTACATCGACGGGAATTATGTGATTTCTTATTTATCGATCGTGTGATTTGTTAAAGCGACCCCTTACAAATTCAGCCGAAACCGTAGCTAATATTGCCGCCAACCACGTGCGCAACGGTCGAACAGCGTAGGGTCCAGGGCGAAATCTGCGTCGATTTCAGGGTTGTATTCAGAAAAATAATCGTTCGTCATAATAAAACTAAAAAACTACATAAATAGTGATGCAAGTAATACAATAATTATTTTTAAGTAGTGTTGAAGGGATACGGTCCTGTTCAGCCGTAGGCTACTGCCAGTCTTGCGCCGAAGGTTCTAATTTATGGGTTTACAATTCAGGGGCTGGAGCTGTTTAACTTTTAGATTGTAAACTTTTATTAGTAGGCAAATAAAGTATGTGGGTAAACGAACTTGAAGGATATTGTCGAGAGGGATACAACAATGGGCTCTTTCATTCCAAATTTATGGCGACCTGAAAATTCATCGGGTTGAAAAATTGGATATCTTAGGAAATTACTCTGAAAAATTAGAAGGGAATTTTTGTAATTCAAATAATTATTTTAGGAAAAAAAAAGTGTTAAATTAGGTCGGTTTCCTTTTTCCACACACTTTTTATAAACATCCAGAGAAATGTAACCCTGTAAAATTGGTTTTAAAAAAGCATGTGTAGTTGTTTACTTTACACTTTTGGAAGATCTGGTGTCAAAAATTCACTTTTTAGTGTACGCTCCCAAAAATGCAATTAATTCCGTAAAACGACAATTTTCACACTCAATCCAGAAAATAGTCAATTTTCGGATTAGTGCCTAAAACGCTGTTTTTTCCTACTAGACTTTGCTGTTTTTGAACAATGTAAAATTGGTCTAAGGTTATTTAGACAGAACTTCCCTCACCCCAACGTCCGCAAATCTCGCTTCTTTAAAATTATTATATTTTTTTTTGTGATAACTTCTATTTATATTAAAAAAATATATGTAGATAATAAGAGTCACGGTTTAAGCAAAAAAAAAAAAAGAATGTATGTATATATAAAATTTGGATTTTTTTGCGAAAATCTGGATGCCTAGGGTAAAAAATCAATGCGGATTCATAAACCACAAGTATAGGAGTATGTTATTTTATAAGATTGAAATGAAGGTTTTCTAAAACAAAATTATGGGGGCACTTATCATTTGTTTGAGGGGATGATTATCCAAATTTTGGTTAGCGTTTTACCATATACTCTAAAATTATTTGTAGCTATACAGAGTGTTATGTTTTTAAGGCACGACACGAAGGTTAGTTTTTTAAATGAATCAGCCTATACCGGGTGTCTGGAAAATGGCGGATTAACTCTCCGCTACGCTCTTAACAATCAACTGGTGAGTCTGGAAAAAATAGTAAAAAAAAAAGTCCCCACGTTTAGAATATTTGCAGTTAATTTTAGGTCCCCTGGTGTTTTATTTTGGGACAAATTTAAAGGAATCTGATGTTTTGTTGCTGGATGAACTTGAAAAAATCTCGAGAGCTTTTAGTGTTTTACTTTTTAACGAATTTGAAAAAGTCTTGAGTGTCGCAGTGTTTTTTTCTAATTGGAGAGGCTTTTGGGAGCTCATGGAGGCTTTTTTTGTAGATTATTTACAACAATTTTGGGAGTCTTTGGTGTTCTATTTTTGGACAATTCTGACCTGACCTGTTTTTGAGTCAATTTTGGGACCCCGTTTTTTTTTTTTTTGAAAAATAATTTGAAACAATCTTGAGGTTCAAGGTATTTTGAAAGTGCTTTAGAACCTAACAATTTAATTAAATTTCTTAGAGGATACGTCATTTGTCAGTCTTATCTTAACAAGTACTAACGCCACCCACCCGCCCTTTCTTAGAGGGTATGTCCTTTACCCAAATCGGTCTTATCTTAGCAGGTACTAGCTCCGCCCACCCACCCTCTCTTTACTTAGAGGGTATGTCATTTGACAAAATCAGTCTTATCCTAGCTAGTAGCTGCCAAGATGAAAATGATTTTGGCAAATGACATATCCTCTAAGAAACGAGAGGGTGGGTGGGCGGGGCTAGTACTTGCTAGGATAAGACTGATTTTGGCAAATGGGATACCTTCTAAGAAAATAGAGGGCGGGTGGGCGGGGTTAATACTCGCTAAAATAACATCGATTTTGACATATGACATGACTTTGGGACCTAGGTTTTTTTTTTAATTTAAAACAATCTTGAGGTTATAGGTATTCCCGTTTGGAAAGAATTTGAAAGTGCTTTGGAACCTAATAATTTAATTAAATTTCTTAAAGGATACATCATTTGCTAAAATCAATCTTACTAGGTACTAGTCCCACCCACCCACCCTCTCTTTGCTTAGAGGCTATGTCATTTGACAAAATCACTCTTATCCTAGACAGTAGGTGCTAAGATAAAGATGATTTTGGCAAACGATATATCCTCTAAGAAACGAAAGGGTGGGTGGGCAGGGCTAGTAACTACTAAGATAAGATTGATTTAGGCTAATGAGATACCTTCTAAGAAAAGAGAGGATGGGTGGGCGGGGCTAGTACTCGCTAGGATAAAACTGATTTTGGCAAATGAAATCGCTCTAAGAAATTGAGGGCGGGTGGGCGGGGTTAGTACCTGCTAAAATAAGATCGATATTGGCAGATGACATACCTTCTAAGAAAACAGAGGGCGGGTGGGCGGGGTTAGTACCTGCTAAAATAAGATCGATATTGGCAGATGACATACCTTCTAAGAAAACAGAGGGCGGGTGGGCGGGGTTAGTACCTGCTAAAATAAGATCGATATTGGCAGATGACATACCTTCTAAGAAAACAGAGGGTGGGTGGGCGGGGCAGGAGTTGCTAAGATAAGACTGATTTTGGCTAATGAGATACCTTCTAAGAAAATAGAGGGTGGGTGGGCGGGATTAGTACTTGGTAAAGTAACATCGATTTTGTCAAATAACAAAAAAATAAAAGGTGGATTTCAGCCACAATCGCTACTATAAGAAATCAGAAAGTAAGCCATAAAGAATTTTTTTATTATTTTTCTGGGACTCCCGAAACCCCTGTACATAACGCACTGAAGAGTTAATCCGTCATTTTCCAGACACCCTGTATACTTTTAGGAATTTTCATTAGCCTCTTCCTAGGCTTCATAACTACAGGATTCACAGAAAAAAATCGCAATATGATTATTTTTAAAATACGTCTTACAATATTTTCTGCAAGGATAAAGAAAGGTATGCGCTTTACTGTTGTATCAATTAAGTCAACTTTTAATATACAGAGCGTTTATAAAAAAGTTTCAAACAATGGCATTTCGGGGTTTTCAAATAGGACACTCTGTATTTTATTAGTGTATCTTGCTCTATTTTTGTTTTGTTTTCATTCTTCTTATATATCGATGTGTTTCCTCAAAAAGTAAAATAGGATGCAGTACTAATAAAAAATGGATATTTATAAACACTCTGTATAGGAAAATTCAATTTTATTTATACCACAACAGAACGTACATCTGTATTCATTGCTCCATAAAATATTGTAATACAGATTTTCTTTTAAATCCACTGGAATTTTTTGTGAACCTTTCCATTGCCAAAAAATTTCAAGAAAATTGGAATAATGTGGCAACGTCGCATTGGAATTTAAAAAAATAAACTGTAGTTATAGAGCTTAAGAGGAGGTCGTCAAGGTTGAAAATCCTATATTATATACAGGGCATGCTTTCTGAGGATCGTCAACTTGGAAAAACATAAAACTAGTCGAACTGGGACCAAAAACTCGGCAAATTTCTGAGGAAAAAATATATTTTGAATTATTTTGTAACCAAAAAAATGCTATAAACATTATTCGTTTTTTATCCAAAATATAGAAAAAATTGCGGCAATGTTGTCTCCCTTATCATCACCTACCAAGAGCCCTTAAAAATGATCAAAAAACAAACAACGTAAAAATCATTTATGAAACAACATCGATAATTTAAAATTTAAAAACATTTTTTGACTGTATCATCAGCGTTTTTTTTTATGGAATAATCTACAATTGCTTGTCCAGTTACCCCTAGATTTAATAATCTTATCTCCAGAAAGTTTTTAGAAAGTCAAGAAAATTGTGGACTTACGAAATCGAAACTCTCCACAAAAAAGTAGTGTTTTAAAAAATCTTCGACTCAATAGGTTTTGGAAATTTTAAACAAATATATATTTCAAAGGGTAGAAAAAAATTTTTTGGACTTTGATATTCTTAAATTGTTTTTATTTAGCACTTAAAGGGTGCCTAATACAGATCCACCCAGACGACAGACAGAGAGGCAGACAGACGGAAACGGAGGACCGCGTTTTTCGTACTCTTGGGGTCATGAAACGTAGAGAAAACATGACAATAGCAAATCGCCCAATGGACTCGACTACAGTACTTCCTTCGCTTAGCTCGGAAAGTAAAAATAATATGTCAAAATTAGTTTTTTAACAAAGCCAGTCTTAATTGAACGAAATTTAGACATAAATAATAATTGAGCCTTAGTCGGTCTTTTGTATTATCTTTCGAGCAAAGAGAACAGTGCAAATCTTAACACAAAAAAATCTAAAACATTTCTCAAAAAAATTATGGAAAAAATAAAAAAATTGGACGTAGTTTATCTAAAAAAAAAGAAAGAAAAAGTGAAAAAAAAACTTCTAGACAGAATAAATTACAATAATTTCGATTTTTTTTATATGAAAAGAATTTACTAAATAAAAAATGATATTCTACATCATATACAGGGCATGCTTTTTGAAGATCGTCAACTTTAAAAGAACATGGTCCATGAAGAACCTCAATGTTTTTAAATCTGGTAATAATAAGACCATGTTTATTTGCTTGTTTATTTGAAAACAAAAGTTAGACTAAACTCATTTAAAAATTTTCGACTGCAAGTCCTTGAACTTGGAAGATTCGAAATTTGTAAAACGTTTTCATTCTGTTAGTTTCAAAAGTCGCAATATTTTTTTGCAAAACGCAAAATTGCCCATAAAAACCCGCCGTTTACACAATCTAGCGCACAACAACCAATTTGTTTAGAGCGTAAAGCTAATTAAGATTACTTTTATTCGTAAACACTTAAGCCATAAATTCGAAAGTACAAAGACACCACTGTTTTATCTTATTTTGAACGCCACCTGGCGATCTGTGCATTCCGAGCAAATTAGCCAATTAATAAGACTAAACCCAACTATCAATAAACAAACAAGCGCAAACCTTGAAACCGCACGATAAACAAATATTTTTCATGAATCACAACCCCTCATTCCGCGAAGTGTGAATCTCCCGGACCCGACTTTTCCCACATTTTCCGCCACCGACGTAATTCCTAATCCTAAGTACTGTGATAATAAAGTCACCAAGGTTGGAGTTTTTTCCAGCGACAAATAAAACTAAACCCAGGCCCCCGCTGGGAGCGGTCTCCGCGCCGCCAACAGCTGCAACTTTTCCACTAATGCATCTTCCATTAAAAGCGCGCCAGGGAGAAAATCCGGCGTGGTCCTTTTTGCGCGGAGTGTACATTCCATTGACCGAACCTTTATTAGACATTTGCAGTGATAAGACGTGCAGCACGTCACCAGTGTGAGGCAAACGTGACGTCAGCCGCGGATGATCACACCTTGAACTAAATCGGTCCTCGCCAAGAAAAATAAATACCGCGCTCCCCTTGGTGGATGGGTTGAGTCGGGTCTGGTGGGGCCGCTGGGTCGACCCTCGCGCCATGGTTCAGCGGCTAAAAATATCCCTACCAGCGCGACCCATGGGCCTAGTTACGTCTTGGCACGGCCGCCTTGGCACATTTAAACAAATTACAACAAAAGCGGATTCCTAGAGCGCCTCTGGTTCCTTGACCCAGCATCCGGCAGGGCGCGCCACCGCTTGGGCGGAAATTGTTGCAACTTCCGCCCGACACCCACACTGCAAA